AAACATTACAAACATGATACGTTCAATTCTATTCCTTAATAACATATATGAGAATTAACATTTCTACATCTAGAGCTAGTAAACTCAGCCGGGGTAGTGTAGTCGGTACAGCCACTGGTTACGGGCTAGACGACTGAGGAGTCGGAGTTCGAATCCCGGTAGTCAAGAATTTTCTCTTCTCCACGTCGTCCAGACCGGCTCTGGGGTCCATCCAGCCTCCTATCAAATGGGTACAGGGGGGGCTCTTTCCCCGGGGGTAAACCGGCCGAGGCGTGAAGCTGACCACTCACCTCCAACTAGTGCCGAGGTCTCAGATACCCGTAGTAAAGAGGCAGGATATAATTAAGCATGTATGGAATACTGAAATATTGAGTAGCCCATAAATACAATCACAGACTGATCAACAAGAATACGATTCAGCTCAACTTCGGTACGGTAATCTGACGGCCTCGAAGGCCTGCTGCGCAAGCTGCGTCGTTGATTTGCTTTTACACGAACACAATAGTTGTAAATTTCTCAATTCATTTCATCAATTTTGTTCTGTCACTTGCGTTAATTATGCTCCGCAGAAATTGTCACGGCTGTTAAGTGTGTGCGTGTGTACTCTTTCTGCTGTTTATTTTATGGCTCTCAGTATCTCAGACTATAGCGCCGAATGACAGGATGACTGGTGAATACTGAATTCGCAAAATTTTGAAGAAAACGGCAGTGGCCTAATCGAGGTACTCTCTAGACACGTGCATCGAGGGACTGAGGAAAACAATGGAAATCCTTAGTCGTGATAGGCAGAGTCCCGGTCGAGATTCGAACCGAGCCCATCCCGAATATGTCTAGAATGTTACAAACCTCTTCGATAATTTACTGAAACGGCGCGTGTTTGATTTCAAGCTAGAGAGGCTTCTTTATGTTTCCATGGTAATAAAACTTGGCGCAGAAAGGCAACAAACAACTTCTTTTCGCCAAAAGTAATACAAGTGCATAATAGATCGGTGTTATATATATATATAGACGCGCCATAGCTCAAGCGGTTAGTCGCTGGCTTCCCACCGCGGCGGCCCGGGTGGGATTTGTGGTAGACAAAGTGACGCTGGGGCAGGTTTTCTCCGAGTACTTCGGTTTCCCCTGCCAATCTTCATTCCACCAATTGCTCCACAATCACCCTCACCTATCATCTGGGGCTGGTACAATAGGCCAGAAGTGGCCGCACTACAAGGCACTCAGTCCCACCCCACTAGCAATAANATATATATATACACTATTCACAAGGCGGAAGAGCGTAAATATATCTGCATGTCTAAAGCATCTTTGCGAGAACACAGTACTCTCAAAAGGCAACCTTACGGAAGAAAAAATCCCGCATCTTAAAAAAAACATACGATTTTGGTCCCTATAGCACATTCAAAATATCACATAGTAATTATACGTCTTGGTCTTCCAAGTAGTATATTTCCTTCTGGCTTTCCTACCAATATCCTATATGCATTCCTCGCCTCCCCCATTCGTGCTACATGTCCCGACCATCCCATCATCCTTGACTTGATCATTCTAATTATACTTGGAGAAGAGCACAATATATTAAGCTCCTCATCATGCAGTGTTCTCCAACCTCTCGTCATTTCGTCTCTCTTCGGTCCAAATATTAGCCTTTTACATTCTAACATTTATGTTTTTAGACAGCAGACGAGAAGACAAAAGGTTCTGGACTGAACGGTAGCAAGCACTGCCCGAGTTCAATCTCCTCTTAATTTCCTCCTGAACCAGGTTCTGATTTATATAGTCGTTCCCACATATCTGAGCTGTGATTCCGTCCTGCATTCTTGTGAGAGACAGCAACATATACTTATTTTTCTGTATTTACTTCTAGACCAAT